GCAGCCAAGCGTTCATAGCGACGTGAGGAGAGCTTTGGGACCCACGCGGAGAGGGCGGCACGCTACAAATCCCCATAGTTTGCTTCTGGGGACCCAACTCATGCAGTTGCCATGCAATCTAGGATAGTACTGAGCAAAGGTTTCAGGCCTGAGCCACCAGCTCGACCCAGCCTCGGACCCAGGCACGTGCTCGACGAGCATTTGCAACCTCGAGACGCCTCACGCAGGGAAGAGAAGACATGGTGAAGCCAGTCTTGTCGGAAGCTGGCAGCTGGGACTGCTGGGAGCTCGGCCAGAGCTCCGGTCCCACCAAAGGTAGCATCAGCTCCTCGAAGTCCGACACCTGACATCACTCTCCTAGCGGAACCTGAGGCCTGAGACAGCCTTAACTTTCAGCGGCCTCCACTCGACCGGCCACGCTGATTTCAGGCACATCCTTGAGACTTAATTACTGTAATTATAAGCCATGGCGAGGCTTGAACATGGGCCCGCACAATGCCCGTTTGCAAGGCGAAGTCCGTAACTGCTGCCAGAGCCTCGCTGCCCCAAACCTCCTCTAGAGTGACTCTCATACATGTCCGGGTGATGGGAGAGATCTGCTTCAAACGCAAGCACCGCTGCGACCTGCACAGTTGGCATGTTGCTTTTGTCCTTAAGTTTTCCTGCTGAAAATTGTCGAAAACCGTGGCCTAAGTCTCCATATTGGGACGGTGACACTTGCTCTCGACCACGACCGCCCGTAAAGTATGGAGCGGCATTGTGGAGAAAACTCGTCTCAGCTGTCTCAACTTGTGAACTATAGGTTGGGATGAAGTCTGGAAGCGGATTTTGAAAGTCGCGAGTGTAGTAAGCCATGCCTTGTGTTTGAATCCTTACTGCTGGCCAGGCTATGTGCAGCCACCCGCCTAGTGAAATACCTTTATCTGCCGTATGATCTTGCATCGTGTATGGTTGCACGCCCTAGCTGTGTGGGTGGACATAACACGGCTTGCCAAAGCCACAGTTTTCGTCATCATCCTGTGTCGTCGTACAACTGCAGAGATTGCATCAAGTTTGCGTAATCTGGCCTACGAATTGATACGCATATCTGATTTTTGTATACATGTATGTGTGTATTTTCGCAAGTATGTGCGCACTTGTGTATTGTACATATATGTGTATGCATTTGCAGATGTATGTGCAGATGCGTGTTTAACTGCAACTGGGATCCTCCCTTGTAACAGGTGGATGCCGCGTAATCTGGCACGGGGAGATGGCTCAGAGAGTGTTGAGCTCTGTCTCCTTGCTCTTGAATTTGGCTTCCTTAGTTTGGGTTGCCATAATATGGATAGAATAGGGTTTCCTTTTCTATGGTAACTTGAAATAAGATCCTTAAGTAGTATGCGTAAACCTGCAGCGTCACCAGAATGATGTGCAAAGAAATATGTTGAACCGAGGCGCAATGTCGCCAACACTCTTCTTCACTGTTGCCTCAATGTCCTTCTCCATCGCACGCACCTATTTTTCAATCTGAGCTGAATATTTCCAACTGTCGTTCAGGGGCACCAAATTCACGTGACCTGAGAGGTGGACCGTGTCCTCTGGAAGCTTTTTGTTATAGCTCTTAATCTTTTTCATCGCCTGCTGCCGGACGTTCCGGACTGCCACCTCTCCCAAAGCGTCCCATGCAGAGACTCGCTCGGGAGATCATTTGCACAAGCTGTTGCCTTGGACTTCTCGGCGTAATCCTTCGCCAGCTTCACATACTGTGCCCGCTTGTCTTTGGTCAGCGGAGGGATGCTGACCTCAGAGTCGAAAGACCTCATGATTCATCATCGCAAGCCGTCAATGACCTGCTCTTAGCTTGCGGCCTTAACTGACTGGCCCATCCTTGCAGTGTGGAAGAAAGGCCCGCCTTTGGCCTTTCGGCCTTAACAGATTAGCTAAGTCTGCATCTCTGCCGCGGTGAAGCCCAGGTCTGCAGTCTGAATTGCCTACAGCCAGACGCAGGAGCCCTACTGCTGACAGGCGGACAGTGCTGTCATGAGCAAGGCCTTCACAACTGCACTGACCACAGTCTCATCGAAAACATTCACCATCAAGGTCGTGCTGTCGGCAGCCTTTAGAATGAGATCTATGCGGAAAAATTGATTTAGACCCGCACGTGCTGGCTTGAGATTTGTGAGGCTGCAGCTGTGACAGTCGCAACTTCTTCGATCTTCATAACGGACTCATATGCATTAACCTGCCAAAGCGGCGCTGTGCTTCCCGGCAGAGGATAACTTGCCAAAGCATCTCAAGCCCAGGGCACGTGCCTTGACAGCGTCCAGCAAGGTGGGGGTAGCCTAGGCAGGGCGCATCAGTTTCGAGTGAGTTGTCCGGCGGCATGCAATCGCCAGGAGACCTTGCCGGCCCTGATGGTCCTGAGATTGTCCTCAAATAATTCGACGGACTTCTTCATCTTGTCCTGCGATGCTGAGCCGAGGTGCCACCGATGGCATCTGCTCAATAATGGAATCTGGATTTAATTTGACGCATGCCTGCAAATACGTCCATCGTGACATACTGTGACAATGATCATGGAAGGGGTGTTGACATGCACAAACCAAAGTGGTCTGCCACCCTCCCCCCCCCCCCGGTTGAACATGCCTTGGGGCACTCTGAGGGAAGGCGGGGACATTCAAGGCAGCTTGTGGTGGCTCATCGTTTGGGCTGTTTCCAAACCGATCATGTGTGACATCAGGAGTGGAAATTTGTGTCGCGGCCTGACTTCTCTGATTCGCTGATCCCTGCTGCAAGTGAGACGACTGGTCCTGTGAAGCGTAGCGCGAGCCCCCCCAACCAGTTGGGCATAGGACTCTGGCTCACGGATTTCAGTTCAGGCAGAGGTGAACCGTGACCGGTAAAAATTTGGATGGGACAATTACAGAAAGAGGCGAGCCAAATATTTTGCACAAAGTAGCCGGGAACACAGGAGTGATCAAACTCACGGCCTATTGGAATGCGATTCATGCGAACTTCAACATGTTTTTTCACCATCGTTCCGACCTACCCGTCCATTCGCTGGAATGCCATTTCAAAGAGGCAGTGGCTTGCAAATCCACAAAGTTAACACGTGTCTGGGTCTGTTGGCCGGGCGAAGAGTTGGAGAAACTGTGGTGCAGCCCGGGCCTGCTGAAACCTTTACGATTTTGTGATTTGGAAGCGGGTATATACGTATGTATATCCTCAGCTGAAGAATATGAACACTTTTGATTTCGTTTGCTATTGCAGAGACTGGCCGCACCACATGTTGTGCAAAAAAGGAATAACACAGCATGCTAGTCTCAAGGCACCAGGCACTGCCCTCCACTGAGGCGGGTAATGAGCCTCTTCAGGCTCCCTTGAACATGTATTTCCAACAAAGAACTTGGCGGCACGAAGCACAACTTCAGGAAAATGGTTTTGAGTCTCAGGCTTTGAGGACATGCTTGAATTCATTTGGCTGGACTCCAATGCAGCCATTGCTCTTTGCTTTGGTGGCTGCATGCGGGAGACTGAAAAAAAGTGTCTGCCCGGCACCTCGAACTCCGCAACAACCGCCTCAGTGTCGATCTCGGAATCGCCTGTGACAGCAAGCGCAAGAGAGGGTCGGATGAATACCAGGCCGAACATCGCCATGAGCTGTTTTCGAAAGCAGCGGGAGTAGGGCGCGATGCTATTCGCCCAATCACGTTTACATGCTTGCTGGCTGAGATGTGCATTGCAAAGGGGGATCCTTTAATCGGCCTTCCTCGGCTTGGCCGCCACCGCCACCACCGCCGCCGCCGCCGCCACCCTTCTTCTTCTTCGCCAGACAGGGCGTCCTCACACAAACCATTCAGAACAATTTGGAGGTAAACACCTCCTACAGCTCTGCCAGAGGGGCTCCTGGTAACTCTGTGAGTTTGGGCCGCTGCCACCAGACTTGCGCTCGTGAGCACGCACACAAGCCTGAAGAAAGCTGCCCAGAGACGGGAACAGTCACTAATAAGAAGAAAGACTTAATGAAAAGGATTATTCAGAAAAAACTGATAATTAACACAAATACTGAACGAGGGCTGATAATAGTAATTCTACGAAAGATAAGAATAGCATAATGAGAATGTAAGACCTTCACATGTTTGCCATGGCACATGGGGACTGCTCCAACAGGTCTGGTTGCAGGCACGCTAGAACCTGAAGAAGGATGAGGACAGGCAAAGCAAACGGTGAGGAATTGGTGCCCGGCTATCAAGCGCTCTGACGCCAGGTCTTTTCAGATCTCTTGGTACAGCTGGAGCTAGGAATCCGGAGCAGGACCTTGCACAGCGTTAAGCAGGTTGAGCACTGCCATTCCAGGTCAGCGAACGTAAGAAGCTGACCAGCCACACACCATCAGCCTCAGATTCCCGGGGAGAAGCAACTGAGGTTGAACAAGTTGTGCGAAGATCTTAAGCGGGAAGCAAGCCGGCGGTGAGGTAGGCGCAGGAGTGCCTCTTCTCGCGAAGCTGCGCTGAGCCGCTTAGCAGTTGTTCAATCAGGCCTTCGCCTCATAGCTGTGGGCTGCATGTAGGCCTGTGCAACATCACATCAATGTCAACACACCCGGACCCGCGCCCAATCCAGATGTCTACGCTTGCTTGCCTTGGTTCGCTCCAGCGGTCCTGATGCGAAATGAGTCGAAGGCCAAACCCTTTAACCAAGTTCTTTGAAGCCACGAAGGTTCTGCGAAGGGCAGGTGGTTGGTTGGACGAACTTGGGCCGAAGGCCTGTAGATCCTGTAGCTGCATGCCCCAGAGCACTGTAGACATTAGCTTTCCTTTGAAACTATGTTGGCATTGCGCAGCCGGAATCTTGTTACTAGCCCTCGCTTGGACAACCAAGCTGCCCTGCATCCTCAGTGAGCATCCGTGACGGCCGCAAGCGCGCAAGAATGCTTTATGTCGTTTGACTATGTTCACAGGCATTTGCTACTCAGAGAAGGAAAGACGCTGATCTCAACCAAGAGCAGCCACAACGCTGATAGCTCTTGACTGGGCCCCTCGCAGGAGAGGTCACAATGGCTTGCCCCACGTTTTGCTAAGAGCCAAACGCTGCCATGATGTCTCCAAGCATGACATGCTGTCGAGAGCTCATCCCATCCAGGTACCAGTGCATCTCACGAACTTCCGACCTCTGCCGACGTGCTTGCTTGGATGCTCTGTCCCTGCTCCTGGAAGGCAGCAGCCTCAGGCCAAGCAGTCTCACATCAAGTGAAGCTCAAGACATGCTACACTTGCTAGACAATACCGGTTAGCGCGTGCTCGCGCGCCCTAGCTGAAAACAGAAGATGACATATGTGCATGCTGCCCTCCACCATCCTCCACCAGTCACAATCCCTTTCAAGCGACCGGTGCACCGGTTTGCAGACTTTCAATGCCACGCAGGGTAACGGCCCTGCACTTGCAAGTGCTTGCCGAAGCCGAATTCCGTCTCTCCAGCTCTGCAGTGCTGTACTCATGAAAGAGCGCAGCATGGAATGAGGCCACTCTTCACTCAACATCAGAGTGCCGCGGCTTATGCAAGCATATCGTATTTTTCAGGTGGTGGCAGACTCCGATTTCAGCCTTGCTTATTTGGTTCAAGTGGCAGCTCTAACTGCTTTAGCTGGGACCCTGTGCACTGTACATCAGTGAAGCCAAACTTGACATCCCCCTTCTTTTGCAGTCCTGCGGTACTTGGGGGGCATGCTAATTATGGCAGGAAAGCTGCAGCAAGGCCAGAAGCAAGCAAGGTTTCTTGCTTCTGGACAACGACAGGTCTGCGGCATCAGTCCTCTCGGCGAACAAGCTCAGATTGCGGATTGGACTGCCTGTCAGCAGTGTAAGACAAGACCAGTGAGCTTTAGGCTATTGCAAGCAAAAGTGCTTCAATCAAAGCAGGGCATGCAGCTCACAGAGAGAAGCTTTTTTGCATTATAAAGCATACAGAAAAGCCTTTTCATTAACGCAATGGCTCGTGATCCTCAGATGCTTTGTCCGTTTCGGAAGAGCTGCGGTGGGTCGGTGTTCCTCCGAACCTCTCGTTGAAGATCCTGGACTGTTGAGGCTTCTGTTGCAGGGCCATATCCGAAGTCCGTGGTTTCTAGCCATCTATAGCGCCACCACTTCTCTTCAGGCACGCAAACCCAAAGATCATGTACAGGCAAGAGCAACAAACAGCGATAGCTCCAAGCAACCAAAAGCTCAGGAGCTGTTGGCTCACCGTGCTCACAGGCGACTATGGGTCGATTACGTTCAATGGTCTGCTGGCCTCCGCGGAGCACCTTGTCGAGTGCTCCCTCGACATCGATCTTCATGAAATGCACAACCTCTATCTGGAAGGAGTCTAAGGTTTCCACTCTCACATTTTCCTCACCCTCATACTGCAGGACATGATTCTCCCCGTAAACCTCCTTGGCCTGATGGTAAACGCTGGTAGCGCCGATGTTGCTTGATCGCCTCAACGCAGGACTCTGAACACGCAGAGTTTCTGATGTCTCGCCAAGCGCCACATTGTGGGTGTAGAAGTTGGCCAGTCCGTTGATGGCAACGTTTCCCGTCAGCAGCTGAAACACTACACGGAAGGGCTCAAACGCATGGACACGGCCGGTGGGCCCCACGTGAAATGCCAGCGGAATGGAATAGCTGCCTACGTGCGAGCCCATGTCACACACAACATCGCCCTCTTTGACTAGATTCCGAAAGACTTCAAGCTCCATGGGCTCATACGTGCCCTCCTTCCGGATGAAATTTGACACGACATAGTCATAAACTGGCGTAATCCAATACAACGGAACTCCGCTCACAGAAGGCACAACAGAGACTGGGTAGTGCTCGCCTGAGATAAGTGAGGGCCTGTTTTGGCCAGCCCAATCAGGAAGATCCTTTCGTCTTGTAAGACAAGCATGGAAACGCCTGTACTGCGGTTCGGAGGTGTTCTGCTGCCAGTCGAACCGTCGAACGATGGCAGCACAGCCAGCATGAGTTGCCCAGGGCTTATGCCAAGCCCCGGACGGACTCGAAAGGCCCAAGCCAGCCAGGGCAAGCAGCACCGAGGATTGCATTTATTTTGCTGCGGTAGAACTTTCTTCACTTACACTTTGTCCTTGGTCAGTCAGCAAGATAGCAGATAGAATTGGCGTTGCAGTGACAACCTGCAACGCTGTGTGAAACGATGCTTGCGATACCTGGTGCTGAACCATGCGTCTATAACCTGTTGGCTGTGAGCCGCACTGCTGCACATGCATGCAACAATGCCAGAACCTACCCACACAGACCAGTGCCACGCACCTTGCTGGCTGGCAAAACTTGATGGCACAAGCTGTCCAGCCTCTTCACGGCGATAACCGCTTCAAGGAGAGACCAGATCCATTTGCATACGCTACTCTTGTCTCTGGAGCCGGAAGAGGCAGCAGCTTTCGCCAACTCGAGAAGCGGCACGTACAGCAGTAGCAATGTGTAGACATCACGCAATGGCAGCTAAATGCAGCACCTGCAGACTCAGAGGCACCCTTTCTGTTTGCATCAGTGTGGTTCCGCAAAGATTACTCCATCCGCGTTCGTTTGCGTTATCCAGCCCACGGAGCCATCAGAAACCGCTTGCACCTTCATGCGCGTGAGCCCGGACCTAGGCAGGCTTGGTTCCTGCAGGCTTCGAAAAGGCTCGCCTCGCTAAGGCCGCTAAGAGCTTGTAAGGCCTGGGCTCGAGGTGGTTGGAAGGCCATTCAAGAACTTCCACCAGCTCACCCTCACGCAAGCGGCGGAAGCCCTCGAGCGAGCAAGCATGAGCAACTTCCAAAAGCCCAACAGCTGAAGGTGGCAGCATGCAAAACATCGTCAGGCCTCATCAGGCTCCTCCCGCTCGGGTGAGTCGACGTGCCGCAGCAGTTGGAAGCCAACTGGCATTGGCGGAGCCTCCTCGAAGGTTTCCTCTCGGGGCCCAGCTCCTTCAGGATCTTCGGGATCGAAACCATTGGGCTCCTCTCCTTCTTCCTCCGGAACATCTGGCACCTCCTTGAGCTCGATCCCCTCTATCCCTGGCTCCTTTGGCTCCACATCTTCCTTGCTTTCCTCCTCCTCCAGCCCCATCGTGCGCTCGAGGTACTTCCTGTCGGCAGGCCTCTCAAAGTTCTCGGTCAGCTGCACATCCCTAAGGATCCTGAATAGCGCCCGCCAATCCTGAGCGCAGACTTGGGCATGACAAGAGAGGAACGAAGCCATGCGGAGTGCCAAGCAGTCCTGAAGATGAGCTACCCCGTCGTTTCCTGCCACAGTGGAACATCGCTACAAACAACAGCACGGGTGGCACGGGGCGCTTCTGGAGGTCCGATGCCTCGGAGTGTCAGCCAGCCTTCAAGGCCATCGGACAGCAGCTTTCCTTTCACTCGCCAGACCTGGGCAGAAAACTATTTTCTCTACTCTCCTCTCAGACCATGTGCTTGTGCTGGGCTTGATGCCTTCATGCCGGGTTCCTCGAAAGGTCCATCGAGAAGCTCGAGCACCTATGCTGCGCTCAGCTTTGCGCGCGGAACTGCAAATATCAGTCGCCCTGCCTCATTCAAAGAAACCCGTCTGAGGCTGTTGTCACCTGCCACCTGCAACTCCTGCGTGAGAGGTCCCTCCTTGACCACCTGGCACCACTTGCATGTCTGCTGTGTACTTGACATGCTTTGCTGGCCTTGAAATAGGAGCGCATGATGTGGTTGAACTTCTGTTCTGAGAGCTTACTGCTTCCAGGTGCCTGATCACGCAATTTGTCTCATTCTCTCTAAGACTCAGAGCATCCCTCTTTTAGCAAATATCACGTTTACAACCGCCTGCATAGCTGTCTGCTGGCTTAGCTTGGCTTAGGCCAAGGCAAGCAGGCCATCGAAGAGTCTTTGGAGCAATTCTTCCGAGAATTTCACAGGCTCCAGAACCTCAAGGCGTTTGGGAATTGGTGTAGCTGCATCACTGAGCATTATTAGGCATTGCATGGCGTTGCGTTGGGGGTCAGGCAGGTTTTCGTTCCCAAGCTTTGGCCTTGGAAGGAAGGGCTGGAGTTGGGAGCTCCGGAAGCACCTCCTTCGCAGAGGCCTCGCAAAGAGGCATGCGGCCCTCTATTTTTTCGGTGAACGAATGCAATGCCTCGTCCAGGATGCCACGCTCCATCGACATGTAGAACAGCGAGAACTCCTGTAACCCACTTCTTTTTGCTGCAACACATTCGAGGCCCAGCAACCCCAATTCAAGCGCCATTATATTTATGGTCCTGCGAATCAATGGCACCATCTCCACTAGCATCCATTTCATTAAACCTGACACTCTGCTTTGACACGAGGCAGGAATTGTTCCCTAGCGACTGCTGCCGCAGCCGGATACTTCCGCAGGTCGCAACTTCTACAAGGCACCAATGCAGTGATGCAGGGAGTACGTGGTGGGACCGAATCTGAATCAGCGTGTTTGTCGTATTTGCTTCTTGGAGAATTCTTAATGACGAGGCACAGCTGCCGCAAGCTGCGACCGCGCCGCGCGGCATAGAGTCGAGCGACCTGCCCCCACGCAAAGAGGGCAAGCTGATCGAAAAGAAAAAAACACTCAGAAAGTCAAGTTACCGCCTTGACGGCGTAGAGCCGAGCAGAGTAGAGCTCCGAGCGCTGCCTCTGCTTAACCTCAGCAGAGAGACAGCTTGACATCGTCACTGAAACTTCCTAATGACAAGTAAAGTACTGTGCACCTAGAGCAGAAGACTTAAACTCTTGCGTCCTCGACCCTACACCGCCTATGCCCCACGTTAGCGCAAGCCGCCTCCGCTTCAAAGCGTCTGCACAGGTTCTGGACCCGTTGCAGGCGCAAGTCGAACCGCCCCATCCTTGGCAAGCGCTTCAAGGCTTGCCGCGACACTTTCTGCCGTCTAAGCAGTCTTAGCACTGACCCAAGCTGGGGAAGCTGCCGCTTCGAAAGAATCCGTAGATCAGGGATGAGGAGGTCCTCAGGCTTTCTGCAAGCGGTCCAAGTGTTGGCATGAGGATGGGAGGACTGTCCTTCACATCTTCTCTGTATCGTTCTTCGAAACCATTGGGCAGGTCGTCGATTTTCTGCTGAAGAACGCCGGCCACCTCCTGGGCATCCTGCACGTCTCACGCAGCCACACAGCAAAGCTCAGGAAAACTCGGCTCCAACCTGGCCCCTGCCTGCAGACTGGATTTGCACCGGCCTGTCTGTGCTGAGACGTCTATGGAGCTTCGTGCCTGGACAGCAAGCGCTGATTATCTTTTTGGGGATGGGAACGCTTCTTTTCCCCTTTGACTCGCCTCCTCCTCCAAGGGCGGCAATGCTTGCTCGACTTTCACAACAGCTTGCTCTACTGTTTCAACGTCGCGCTCGACCCGTTGAACCTGGACAACCACGCCCTTAGCGCAAGACCAGAGACACATGACTCATGCCGAACACAAGCCTTTGTGTCAAGCTCAGCCCGAAGGACGGCCCTCACCTAGACAAAAGTGCAGAGGCAGGTACAGAGATCGAGGGAAGCCCCTCTCCATCAGTCACCTGCCTTGTCGCGAGCTTCGCGACGCGCTTTCCGTTGCCTCACACCAGTCTGCTTTGCTCAAGCATTGCCGCAAATGCCACCGCACCACGGCACGGCTTTACAATCCCGTCAAGAGTGGAGACAAAAGCGATTTGGGGAGGCGCTTGTCACGGAGCAGTTCACGTTGAACGCCCAACTTGCTTTTCATCACGTGAAGCCTCAAGCAACAAAGGCAACACTCGCCTCTAGTCTAAGCTGACCGTGCCCACCTTTCGAAGACGACACCGTCCTGGTCCCCCACGAGGCTGGGCCACAACTTGTCCAAGACCTGACATAAGATGTGCCTCACTTCGCTGCCACGGTACCGCACCGGATCTTCTGCATGGGTTGCCGGCTGCTGCGTCCAATGTTAGCTTGAACTCAGCTGCGGCGAAGGAGAGCACCTCAAATAGGGATTTGGGTGAAGTATCTGCTCTAGGCCCTGACATGCCCTGATGCGGCCCATCCTCCTCCTTGGATAGCAGCTGGTCCCCATCCACATCATACTTCTGAAAGAGGTCCTAGTGCTCAAGTCCAGAAGACAATACGTTCCGTAATGCTTCTCAAAGCGCTGCCCAGCCTTCTGGAGATTGGTTTCTCGGGATGCCGTGGCGCGCCGCGAAACCGCAAGTTGGACATCTCGTGAGGCAGCCAGCAGAGCATCGCTGAGCTTGGTGCACCTCAAGCACTTGGGGGCTGTGAGGACACAGCTTGTCTTTGATGATTGGGGCTGCCGCTCATTGATCCGTGAGAGACACTTGGTCATGAGCTGCTTGATCTCAGATGTACCGACCACGCCAGCAGATGGCGGGTCCTGGCATGGGACCGATTAGAGGTACTGCTTCACCTCAAATCATGGTGACTTTGGCTGATGTGGCACTTGCACTCCTTCATGTCCGGGCCATGGCGGACCAAGAAGTCCATCTAAGCAATGCATTGTTGAGAGAGGAAACAACTTCTGCAGAAGTTGCAAGGCCTGGAAAGCCTGGGGTCCGAGCACACGTCTTGACCAGACTCTTGGTCTCGGCGCCTGCTACCTCTACCAAGCTCGCGCACGAGTCGACCTGAGCGTCTGCTCGATGAAATGAAATGCATGTGAAGGCAAAGACACCTCCTCCTGGCTCTGCTGGTCGCCCTGCTCCAGTGGAGCACACACTTCCTTCAGATGCTCAACCTGTCCAAGAGACTCGCTTGCACGCAAGAAGTCCCAAATCCATTCAAATCCATTGCACGAGCAGGCCACCCCTTTCTCGGCTGCGTCCAGAAGAGTGCTAAGTTCTGCAAGGAGCTCCTCCGAAAGGGAAAAAGCCATGAAGGAAGAAGATCAGGAGCGTGTTCAGAGTTCATGTGCTCGCGGGCCTTGGCCTTGGCTTCCAACTCCTGCCTCTTCTTCTCGTCGGCTTCCTTCTTCTCCTGTGCTTTCCGCTTTGCCTTGCAAGTCAAGCCAGCTCAGCAGCCTGGTAGCCACCAGCTAAGCACTGCACGCGCCCTGAGGCGCCCTGCATGCAGTCACTTTGCCTCATTTAGTATCTCGATGCGCTTCCTTGCTTGCTCTAGGCACTTGTCGCTCTCTGACTTCATGTGATCTTTTTGGCTCCCAGTGTCCTGGATCACATCATAAAGAGTACACCAACAAGCCGTGGGGTGCATCTAAAGTCTCATTGCCTCCAAGTGGTCTTTCAGGCACTCCTCCAGCTCCTTCTCCAGTGCTTCTAGGTTCTCTGGTGTTGCTGCAGCAACTTTCTGAATGACCTGGGCAAGGAGATCCCAGGAGGCCTTGGATATTTCACAAGATGCCCATCAAAGCTCCGGCCTTGCGCACCATGAAAACAGCTTTGCCTTCTTTGATGCGCTGCTCCTGCAGCTCCTTCTGGCGCTTCATCTCTTCCTTTCCGGCCATGGTCAGTGGCGAATAGCTATGAACTATGAAGGCTTGAAGCTTGTCCAGGCCTCCTTCTTCTTGCGGATTTCTTCCTGCCGCTTACGAGCCTCTTCTTTCCGCTTCCTCTCTGCTTCCTTCCTGTGGCTATTTCAGCGCAGGGATGAGTGCCTCCACTCTCCACAAGAAGCCTGCTCTACAGCTCTGCAGCTCTGGCCTTCGCTGTTCCTCGGCCTTTTGCCGCTGGAACTCCATCTCCAACCTCTGCGTTTCAACGGCTTCTTCAACCCTTTTAGCATGGAGCATGCCTGCGGGAAGCCCTTTCTTTACTGCAATACCATGACCAGGTTCTTGTCTGTCATTTTATACTCACTGCTCTCAAGCTGTTTCTGGCTGCCTTCTCTTGGCCTCTTCCTGGTGGAGGCGCGCGTACTCCTGATGGGTGGTTGATGCACAGGGGAGGGATCACGCAGCAAACCCTCCAAAATGCAATGCATGGGCATGGTCGGGGCTGGTCCGCTGTGGGATGCTTTTATGTCAACGTGGAGTACTCCGCAATTCTATCTAATTAAGAATTGAATTGTTTGGGCACTGTAAGTCCTGCATGTGCCTTTCCGCTGCGTGCGGATCAAGGTATGGCATTCCAGGCATTCCGTACCACATTGGGTATGCCTTGCAACCGTCGTTGCTAGACTGCACTGACTTGAAGGAACTTGGCTGAACAGCGTGCCTGGAGCGCCTCTCCTCCTTCCAGCTCGTTACCTTCCTTTGTCTCCTTCACTTCCTTCTTTTCTTTTTCCTTCTTGGCGGTCACGGTGAAGGTCTTGTCCACGGGTCCATCATAAGGTACCTGCAGGACATGTGGACATGCCTGTGCCCCGCTTCATGGGTCATCATAGGTCTCGAGGCAGAACGCCTTCCATCCGCTCTCGGGCGGTGTCTGGTCTTCACATGGCTGATAGGCCCAGACCTGTGCATAAAGAACGAGGACGTCACCATGACGTCGCAATGCTAACCCTGTAGGCCTGGTCTCCCCCGACTTTGGGACCAAACCACCAGCCAGCAAAATCTGAACCGTCTCTGTCATCCCAGAAGTAGAGCATGACCTGACACAGGGCTTTCAGCAAAAGCGTGCGCGGCGAAACGCAGAGTTTCAGGCAAGGACGTCTAGGTCATTGAACTTCTCATCCTTCTGGTAGTAGGGCCTGCAGGGTCCGAAATAATAGTTTGCATGGCGCAAGGCTTGGAGGTGGCAGCTGGCCTGCCGTGGTTTTCACCAGCAAACCGGAAATTTCCACGAACGATCTTTTTGACCATTTTGTCTTTCCCGCCAGACACCACCAGTCCTGACCAGGGCTTCTGCAACGAAGAAGCAGGGCCCCGTGCCGACAGGCATTTTAAAAATTCATTCATCGGAGGTCCTTTTGGCCAGTTGAGAGTGTCACTATCGCGAACTTCTTTAGGAGCTTTTTCTTTCACTGCTTTTGTCTTGGTCTTTTTCTTGGAACTTTCGGCTGGCTCCTGGCATCCCAAAATTGAACTGGTAGGAGGTACCACCAATGTGCCAGGATCAGCTTGCAGCCTTTTTGGAGGCCCCGTAGCCAAATCCAGGGTAATCATACCTGGCAAGGACATCAGTCCGGCTACGCCACCTCCTCTTGTCAGGGCTCACGAGGAGTTTGAGGCTGGCGTCAACACAGCGTTTCCAGCATAGAGGCCAGGAAATGCCCCGTAGGCATAGGCATACCTGAATACAACAGGTCAACACAGCGCCTTTGTGCTCCCATTCATGCGAACAGGAGACATCTTCTGGCACAGCGCGGCCAAGTGCCCAAACCTGAACAAGTCTTGTGTGTTCACAGACTTGGTATGCACTGCCAAGGAGCTCCATGACCTCATTGCTGAGCCCAAAGCTGGGAACTCCCGATAGCTCTTGGCCAAACATGTCTTTGACTCTACTGGCCGAAACAGCTGCAAGAAGCATCCAAAGCTTGCAAGAAACTGCCAGCAAGGCAATGCAAGGCATCCCTGATTTTGCTGGGGGCATCACCAAGGCCGCAGCACCTATCAGTTCACTTTGGAGTGCTAAGGTGTAGCGGTAAACACTGCTTCTTGCTCGTGTCCCAAGCCAGGGACTCCGCACCCCGCCGACCAGACTGGACCGAAGCCCTTTTGCAGCCTAAGCTTATGCTGAATGCTTCAAGCTTCAAGACATGAAAGCTCGGACCAGTCCCTCATGCAGCGTAATTGATGCATCTTTTTGCAACCTTCCTTCTCCCCTATCAGGCTACTTGCCGTTTCACAGAGGCAATTCCCCAGGTCATGGCAAACCAAGTAATATCCCCATGGTCAAGCCTGCTCCCCCACCCGCACTCACACGATTTTAGGAGCTTCGCATGTCAGTTCGGACACAGCCCTCGGCAAAGTAGACATCCGGCACCGCCCCAATCTCAGCCGCCGTCTCACCAAAGAAGCTCCGAGAGAGGATCAGCACACGCGCCGAGGCTAGAAGCAGGTATGCAACATACGAGTCAACAAAGCCTTGCAAGCCAAGGTTGGCATGGGACCGATCAACATGTGCCAAATTCCAACCATCCAACACCCTCAACTTTCCTGAATCCCGCAGCTTTCGTACCTCAGGCGCTTCAAGGGCAGAGACAGTATCAGCGCTGAGGAACCAAGGAGTGTCAGAAGGCAAGCTCAGCTCACTCTCTGCCCATGCAGCGCATTGAAGAAAGTCTGGCAAACTGCCCAGTGAATGCCGAGCAGGGTCCCACCACAAGCGTGCGGACTCATTCCCTGCTCGAAAATGTATCCCTAAAAAGCCAGATGAGCTGCGACCCGTCCAGGGCAGTGCTATCGAGCCATCCTGAGCTACGGTGTGTTCTGCTGCCAGCTGCAGTCGTGACTGGAGCAGCATCGTTGGTTGGAAAAGAACATCCCACAACTTGGCCGCAAGGTGAGAAACCTGTTTCAAACGCATCTGCTTGGCCTGGTTCCTCAAGAGCGGGTGCGCCTCAGTTTTGCCGGGGCACCATAGAATGAATGGAAACACAGCAGCTCGCTCTCAAAAGACGAAAGGGGCGGGGGTTGGGATGTGGCATCAACTCACTTCCCCACCCTTGTCTTTGCTTGGTCTTCTCCCTCAGGTAACATCTGTCTCTCCGCTAACGTGTTATGTATGTCCTGACGTCCTCGCTGCATGTTGCCGGCTTGAGGCATTTCAGGCTGAGTCTAACAAATGCAGGAGCTTCTGCATTCCATTGTCTTGGCTTGGCTTCGATTCACCTCTTGTCTGGCTTTGCTGGCACCGTAGCCCACCTTATTCAAAAATGTCTGGCGCATTGAAGTGTCGCTACCTCAAGGACTCAGGGACCATGGGGCCACTCGGTAGCTGGAGCCACTTTACCCCAGGTTGCACGACACGCCAAGCTGAGCTAGCTGCTTGTAGACATTGGGGGGGGTGGAAGGGGGGGGGAAGATGGTGAGGGTGGAGGGGGGTGAAGGGGGGGCAGGGAGGGCGGGGGAGGGGAAGGGGTGGGGAGGGGGTACAATTCTAAGTTGTTAGCCTGCGATGTTTGCATTGCTGTGGCCCTGTTGCCCCCAGCACCCCAGACCAGATCCAGGCATTGTGCATGCGCGCTCCACGCGCAGCGTCCGCCAAGCGCGTGCCAGAGCCCTTTCAGCCTAGCTTTTTGGGGGCATCTAAGGAATCTAAGGGGGCAGAGCTGCAAGGTTGCAACCCCATCATGGTCTGCGGATGGAGATTCATTCTTGAGGCCCGCCCTCATCAGCATTGGGTCTGGGATCCCGGATTGCATACTCCTGCAGACTATAGACCTGACACGCCGGCTTGGGCGTGCAGGCCACGAAGTCGAGTTCACTTATGGGGCGTGCTCTCAAACGCGGGAAATGCAGTTGGGACGTGTGGCTCGAGAGACACCACTAAGCACTTCATCCTTATCCGGCCATTGGTGAGGGGGAGCACGACTTCCTTGAGCCGCGTAGAACCAATACTTCGAGGAGCCCCGCCTGGGCACCACAACCCGTCCGTGTAGAACCCGGACTCAAACCGCAAGGGCGGTGCTTTACCCTCATATTTGTTTAGCTCACGCACCCAACTGACTCCCATGCCACTCTCTGCTTCCTCTTCTTGGTCTTCTTCTGCTTCATATTCAGTAACTCAGTGCAGGGCCAACATAGCTTTCAGCTCGCGGTGGTTCATGGAAACATGCAAGATGTGGCTAGGATCTTCCAGCAACCAGGTCAAGTCCTCCTGAAAGGAAATTCGATCATCCAAATAGAAGCTGTGGGCACCTTGACCAATTGATCCCAAACTGTGAAGTCTCCAGTCTAAAACAGGAAGACCGTCCTGTTGCTTGCGCGGCTGCAGCAAGAGGCTAAGGGGCAGAGGCGAGTCAAAGTCGATAAAAAACGCCCGCGAGGTCAGCAAGGCCAGTATGAAGGCTGAAATGATACCGTTCGTGCGGTCACCATGACCTCCACATAACGTGAGTGGGTTGCAAACGTAGACTAAGGCTCGAAAGGCCTTGGAGTCTTCGTGACTCGCGTGCACAACTCGGCGGTGAAAGTCCAAGTACGGCTCCAAGAAAAGCTGGTTTCCGGGGTCAGCCAGACTCCCCCTGCGCCCGCGCCAGGCAGGCAATGGACCCTGATGCTCGTGGAAGCTGGAGCTCGAGCCGAGCTTGTAGAAGCTCATCCTGCCTGAGCTTGTAGATCTTGCAGAGCTTGTACCCTCAGCCCACTGCAACAGGCGTTTTGCGAGGTCCGCCACAGACTTGGCACCGCCGGTGCGGACGTCGACACATGCCAGATTCAAGCTGTCTCTGCTATCTCCAAGCTTCTCTCCAAAATGCTCACTGGCAACGATTGTGCTTGCTAAGGTAGCTTGATGTCTGCGCCAGAAGACTTCCAGCCTCTCCACCCCCTCTTTCCGCACTCGCTGAGCAAGGTCTCCTGCATGAACAGGGCGGTAGTTTGTCACCCAAGCTTCGCGGATGGAATCTTCAAGGAACAAAATCTGCAAGTCTGAAGCCTGCGAGAGCGAAATGCCAACACTCCAAGCAGCCTCAAGCTCTTCTCGTGACGTGCGGTTGGAGATCAGGAAGGCGATAGCAAAGGGACTTATACCTTCTGACGGAGTTTTCCGACTATCGAAATTTGGCCATCTCCAAGTAGGCGTTGGCTCCAGAACTTCCCTTCCGCCCCAGAAGACTTGCGAACCCGATCCATGAAGAAACGCATGGTCCAAACTGGCAGTGAGAGCTTTGAGCTGATAAACAAGCTTGGCCAGAAGCCGGGAGAACAAGATTGAGAGCCGGTCAACCCAGACATGCCAAGTTCGCACCTCACCGGTACGCCGCTGGAAGGGATATGCAATGTCGTGCGCCAACATCTTCCTGTCAACTGCTGGAAACGTCAGCCCGCCTTGCGATGCTAGCAGCGGCAGTTGCAAGCAATGCTGCAGGCTGGACGTCATTGCTGCGCTGGCCGTCTCCTCATCGTTTTTCCGAATACCTGTCGCCGAGGACCGCAGCAACACCTGCAGATGGGTTGCTTGCTCAAGATACCGCTGCTGGTTTCGCAAAGACATTGCCCAATTCTTCGAGTTCCGATGAAGCAGGCAATGCGACCTGCGTCAGAATCAAAATCATGACAACACTTCGGCAAAGCTGAAGGCAACCGCACTGCAGATAGAACCCCGCCTCAAAGTGAGTAAGACGACTTGGCGAGCGAGCTTGAGGCCTCTGAGGCCAACGGGCAGCGCAACCTTTTGCAAGCCAGTCAGCCGATCCAGGAAACGTCCGTGCATCAAGGGCTGGCATGGGCTCTCAGAAGTGGAGCGCCTAAGGCCACTCTCAATGTCCTGCGCAAAAGCTTTCTGCTGCAGCATGACGTTGACTTTGAAGTCAAGGACCAAGGATGAGTACTCAAGCACAGAGTTGATCTTGTCGAGGCTGCAGCAGGTCACATCTGCACGCATCCCGCTGTCAGAGCCTAACCGTCTCCAAACACGACCAGCATCGTGTCTTGTGTGGTGCCGGCCCAAATGATTGCATTGAAGATGTCTTGGGAGCAAACTGGCAAATCCAGTAGAAACACACAACCAGCGGATCCAGCTGGTCAGTAGCATTGGGCAGATTCGACATCCTGCTACCCTACACTGGCGGCAACGCCTCGAGTGAAGCAGCGGCATGCGTGCTTCTATCCCTGTACTGTACCATCTGCATTTGAGGAGCTGCCTTGTGCTGGCTGGTGGGTAGCTTGGAAAATACACACGCCATCAACAGCTCAGTTCTCAACAGCCGCATGCTGAGCGGACACAAACCAGGATCCCGGCATCCCTGACTGTGGCAGGCATCTTTGCCGTAACCTTGGAAAGTTGTGGTTGGAATGAGGTTGAAAGAGGTATGAAATGCCCAGGGGTACAGGATCATGGGTTGATGGGAACTCTCCACTCCCACCCCGAGAGTGACACATAATTTCACATAAGTTTGCCCCCCCCCCCTCCAAGATTCCGGACCTCCAGCGGCAACTCTTCATCATCACCTCAGCAGCACGTGAAGAAGGGCGATCATCAGTAAAGACACGGTGAGGAACAAGCCCGTTGACGTCAGAGTCGCCCGGATGATGCTAAGTCGAATGGGCCTTGGACTCGGCGTTGTGGGAAACTTTTGAAGACGCAGCCATTCGGATGCTTCAGTTCAACAGCTCAGCTCTCGACGATGCGTTCGGGCTGCGCCTTGGCCACACAGCTAGAAGCAGCTAGGTTTTTTTTGTAGGGGTTATATCAGGGTAATATCCGCCGACCCCGGCCTGCCCATTAGACCCCCCTCATTTCTTTGTCTTCCTTCCAAATGTTCATCCTTGTCTCTTGCATCCTCTGCCTTTCCCACAATTGCTTTATCTTCCATCCAACGGAATTAGAATTGTCGCTGCGGGGGCCCTTAGTTGCCGGCAGGAGCGGCCTTAATGAGGTTGAACCCCCCCCAAAATTCCTTTGTCTTGCCAGGGCCTTCGTCCACCTCCCCACAGGACCAGCCCCCAAACCCCCTGGACCCCCCAGACCCCATTGCCCAGGCCAAACCCTATAAAATGTGCTTGTTGCATGGTTTTGGGGTATATTTCCGGCACTTTTGTGGCTCTTAAGCTTGTCCAATGCGTGAAATGTGGCTGCTATTGGCAGCTGACTTGCAAAAAATGCAATTGTGGGCGAGAGCATGGTCAGCCGCACAGAGAACCATGTCTAAAGTCATCTTTGATGGTGTTCCTTGGGTTTTTGACCCCTCCCTGGTCCCAATCAAGCCAAAATGGGGTCCCAATTGTGCAGCTGATGTTCCTGTACAAGGCGCGTGCCCCATTCCGAAACATCATCAGCATTTTGTGTTGGGACCCCATTTTGGGGGCCGCTTTCAATTAAACAAGAGAGAACAGGATCTTCAAAACCTACAAAGACATCCTGGGTAACAAGAACATAACTTTTTCGAGCAGTTCTCTCAATCAGGAGTATCAGCAGGGCCGGGGTGGGCTTGGCTTTCACTTGATAGCTGGGTGGGCAAGGGGGGCAACGGCCAGGCCGGCATGTGCCGCCAGGCCCTAAATTAAGGTTATATAGTGACGATATATTTGGGTTATATAGGGGTTGTACTAAAACACTCTGAGTTTTCGAAGCCCAGTATAAGCACCCCCTCAAGCGCTGAGCTCTCGTATGGCGATCTTGAGGTGCCGCTCGACAGCCGTGGCCTAAGTTGTGTTCGGGTAGCATCACCATTCCGTACCCTGACCCGAGCAGGCGGCCACTCTCCCGCAGGTCGCACTGGAGAGTAAGCAATTCACAGCAAGCTGAGCTTATGGCTGCCAAAGAGTCCTTGGGCAAACTAGACTCGGAGCACACCGCTTCTTTCGAACTCCATGCATTTGCCGTATCATGTCTTGAGGCGAAAGACAGAGATGAGTACGATGCGCTGCACGCCTCAGACATCCAGTATGAACGCAAACAGCAAAACAACGAGCCGCAAGTAAGGGCTTCACTTTCTGGAGCTCCCTCCATTAAGGCCGTCAGGCCAGTGCAGGCATTGGACTGAGCGCACAGTAGAAATTCTACCCAGAGGCGCGCTGTACATCTCGAAGCCCCTCGCCTGCACAGCGGGCTCCAATCCGCAGGGACAATGGACCTTGCAAGTCGTGCAGAATCAAACTTCTGGATCGCCTACTACAATTGCAACCTAGACTCTCGTGCTTTGACAAAATCGGCGCTCCCAAATTCGCGTAACAATATCCAAAAATAAGATGTGAAACCAGGTGAAACCATGAGATGTATGAGAGGCACCACCATCAACATCTTCAATCAAGGTCTTGGACCTAGAGACTTCTCCTCAGGAGTGCATCAAGAAGTGTTGACTGAGCGCCTGTCACTTTGTGCTCAGGCCATTGCAGTCTGTCTCAGGTCAGTGAGAGCCTGCTTCATCTCTCCACCTTGGCCGAGGGCTGGCGGCGCCAGGGTGTCAATACCCGTGGAGGCTAGCTCCTGGAAGCCTTCAAAGGCAGCTTGCACCGACTCCTCAAGGCGGGTCATGATCTGTTCCAGCTCTTCTTGATCTTCGACGATGCCCTCCTCCATCAACTTGCAGTGGGAGTCCAACGTCTCTTTGCTCTGCTTCAACAAGCTTACGAAGCTCCGCACTTGATTCAACACTCCCAAATGCAGAGTGCTCTTCTCTGATGCTACAAAATTCTCGCACCCGTCCAGCAAGAACTGGGCAGTACTTGCATCACAGGCAATCTTCCGGAGCTCAAGATTTTTCACAATGCCAAAGCCAGGATTTGCATCGGCGGATGGGGCCTCCACGCTTAAGTCCTCAATCTTTTTCCTATTCAGTCGCAAGGCCAAGCAGTGCTTCTCAGCAGCCTGCTCCATGGTATCTCCTGCCTTTGCATTCTGCATCAAGCCCTCTAGTAGGCCTTCATAAGGATCACCAAGGAAACATGCCTTGTACTCTCCTTCTCGAAGCTGGTCCCTGCGCCACTCAAGCTTGAACAGGAACTCTTTCCACGAGAGCTTCAGATCATGCAGGATTCCGGCAGTGTCACCGCAGCAATCTCTTGTCTGGCAGAAATGGTCTACTATGATCACCGTCAGTAAGTTCATCATGAGAAACATCATCATCAAGATGAACAGCCAGTACCAAATTGTTGATGAAATCGGCGCAACTCCGTAGAGCTGATCGAAATTCGCCGCTCCCATCAGCATCATCACGGCACTAGCACAGCACTGCGGGTACGTCGACCATCCTTCCAGCTCTGGACCAAATAAGATTTTCCCCCCAACGGCAAAGTTGTTGAAGACAACAAGGAAAATCATCATGAAGTGAAGGACGTCCCAAAAGCCATCCGCCAAAGTTATCTGTATCATCGCCAACTTGGCCTGACCAAGAGACCCTTTCAGCATCCTTGCAGTAATAATCGAGGAATACCAGAAGAGACTCAACTGAAAGTAGCCACGCATAACAACAATGTCGTGGGCATCGTCAATGTTCTTGGACCACCTGCCCTGGTATGCAAGCTCATCAATGTCACTAGCCTGGGCTTGTGGATCAGGTGTCACAATATGGTGCAGCAGATGCCGATTGACGAACTGCCAAGGGGCGAGAGGGGCGCGTGGTAGCTGTGAGACAGCTGTAGCCAGCACTGCTGTGTACTCCTTGAAGCAACTACAGCAGCTGACTGGGGCCGATGCGGATTGGGCTGTGAGCCACAAGACAACCCATGCCTGTCCTGGATCCACAATGAGTACACTGCGAGAGCAATGCCCACCTTAACGCCAATGCTGACATTGCTTAGGTCTTGCAGGAACAGTATGCGTACTTTGTCGGCCCCACTAAATTTCACAGACTTCCAACACTGACAGCACAAGGCCCGTGCTCCGATGGACACCCAGTCCACGACATTCCAGAAGTTTGACAAATAGCTTCCTGGGTTTGCATGATCTGTCCATGGCAGCAAAGCAAAAGCACAAGTACGAGTAGAGCAGCCTGCAACAAGCTCAGACCAAGAGACGAAGCTCACGCCTGAAAGTCATCTTCAACACTTCCCACAGCTCTTGTCTCAGCAAAAGTAGGATCAGCACGAGCCAGCAAATTTCCGGCAGAAAATCCATCACAGAGGTCTGTCCAGGAACTGCTCGAAACACATGGCTTCGAACTGTCTTGGTGATGCCGCCATCGTTCAACCACTCAAAGTTGATGCTGAGAATCACGAAGGAGCCGCTCTCGCCGTTCAGCATTAGGGCTTCCAGCTGGAGAGATGTTGCTGCTTCCGTCAACCAGCCATTGCGGCGCAGCTGCGTGGCTGTCTCCAGCGCGTCCCTGAGTGGCCGCTCCACATCAAAGTAAGCATCGTAGGCGCCGGTCCCGGTTGACAAGAAGGCGTTTCGCACTCCAACTGGCATCTGGTCAACCAGGGTGAAGTTCACGTCCGCCAAGGGGCCAAAGGGATCACTAGCTGCTTCTGCGCTGCGGCATTGGACAGTGTACCAGCCCTGTAGCGAAGGTGGTAGATTGCAACTTTCCAAATCCAAGTTTGCGCGCCTCTGCCTGGCACGGACACCACCTACCACCAAGTTCCGGTTCAAGATCAAGCCAGGTCTTCGGATGACCCGCCCTGCCACAGTGCCCCAAATATTGGGAAGAAACCCATGTTCAAGCCACACCAAAACATCCTGAGCCCCATGGATGCGGCGCCACGTCATGGGCTCCATGTCCTGGGCCCCCATGGGGTAGAAGCCCCCTGTAGCTGCAACAAGCCGCTCTGCAGTGTTACCTGGAAGCCGACCCAGGAACTCGAAAGCCTCTGTCTGGCCATCGTCTGAGCAGGAGGTCTCAGGAAAACCACCGATGTGACGGCAGCCGCAACGGCAAGGCCTCAGCTCTCAGGACATGCGCTCTGCGAAGCTGACTCAATATTTGGGTGGATGCAACTGAGGCCGCAGCATGTTGGATTCGGCCGGCGTGCGCAAACGGACGCCACTCACCCCAGGATGGGAGATGATGCCCTCTACGTAGTTGACCACCGCTTCTTGCACTTCGTAAGCTCGGGTCACGTTCGATCGCATCACTGCCAAATATGCGAAAATCAGCCACAAAAGCCCTGTGAAAGACAACCTGCACTGACTTTGTCTCCACCTTGGTAAGCACTGGCAGGAGAAGTTGTAAGGGCACAACAGACATTTGCAGAACAACAGACATTTGCGGAGCAACAAGCTCAGGCTGCGGCCATGCGCGTTGGTTCATGTACTCGATCATTTGGAATCGGGTAACTCCCTTGGTGTCTTCCTCAACGGGAGGTGCCTCAAAATCACCTAGGTCACCTCCCACATCGCCCAGATCATCTCCTAGATCCAGGTCATCGAGTCCATCAGGCAGCTCGTCCTCTTCGGCACTCATCGCAAGCTACGCCAAGATGCTGGCAAAGTCCGGATGTGCCTCCTATCATTCTGCTACAAGCCTCATGGCTGCGGCACGCTGCGGCATCCAGGGCGAGATAAGCAACATTAAGCAACACACTGCAAAGAACCTTGCATGCTGCCAGGTGAGCCAAGGCCCGAATGCTCAAATGCTCTGAGGCTGAAGCTCCCACGGCCCGGCAGCCCACCAGCCTGGCCCCGGGCCGCGGGCACGTCTTCCCCCTTCTGAGGGTGCAAGAACCAGTTGCTCTCAGGCCGCCACCGATCTGCGAAATCCTGCAAGCTCAGCGCTCCAGAGCTCACCGGGCAGAGAGCAAAATTGAACCAGACAGGTCATGCTCCCGACTTCTAGTTGGGCCCTGAAGAGAACATCAGGTCAGTACTGAGTATGAGCGGGCAACGCTAACTACTGCTATCACCCTCGCTCCGAGCGAATGCCTCATGAAACCTCTTTACCCCCAATCAATCTCTCTCAACGAGGATTCTGGAAGGAGGGGACAGACAGTACATGGTTTGCAGGAATATATGAGTGGATGACCTGCGCAGGTGTCACGGTCACTTGAAGGACCCCTCCTTTTTGCTCTGGTTCGTTGATGTTTGATTCCCGTGCTTGAGCCTTGCATGTCTCGTTCTCTGAAGCCTAGGTCTTCTATCTGTAGCTCCAGGCACGATCCAGTTCTTGCAGCTAGCTTGGAATTCTCAATCTCAGGCCTCAGAAGTTTCCAGGACAGTCAAGTCCCTTGTTGCAGCAGTGGCACGTGGCACAAACACTTCCGGCATCCAAAATCTGTGAGGCGCTTAACCCTGCTTGTTGTGTCTTGCTCAGCCATGGCAGGGAAAAGCAGATTCTTGTTTGCACTGATTCAGCGGGCTCCGCTACATTCAAGCGTTGCGGAACATGAACGGAGCGCCGGCCTAAGGAGTCCTGACCGGGCTGTGCTCACCGACATGTTGGTTTCAAGTCTTGTTCGTGGCCGACAATCTACTCTGGTCATGGTAGGATGTCCTTCACACATGCACATTGAGGAAAGCATGACGCAGTGCGCATGCCTCCCTTGCACAGCCCCAAATGAACACAGCATACACAGTGCTTTGCCTGCACCGAGAGCTCGTGCCTTGCACTCATCAAACAGGCTAGCTGCACCCGCATAGCTTCATATAGCTTCCGAATGCTGCTCTTTAAGCACTGAGAGCGTGACAGGTTGTGCAAAGTCAGCACTTCACGGACCGCCTACACTCCGTGCACGTTGGTGCCCAACGCACAGAAACAACCTGGGCCATTACCTCCGTCTGCAGTTGCAGAGCCTTGAGAAGAGAGGCCTCAGCTCGCAGTTGGGGAACAAACACAGGGGATGAGAAATTGCTTCCAAGCATATTCTTGGGGGCCTGGCAGAGCCACTCTGCGAACCTAGCCGGACACGGGAGTGCGGCCAAGTTGGAGTGATGCTGTGGCTGGGGCATAGGCTCGAAGGCCAGCACAACACTGCCGGAGCAATCTGAAGGCTAAGTCACACACTCCTCTTGCAAGCACATCGCAGTTACTGAGGCTTTCTGGGGCCCGAGCTGGCTCTGGCAGCTCCTTCACACGAGAAAGTATGCTGAAAGCTGAGGCTCTAAGGCTCTTCCAAGGTCGTCATCATAGAGGTCCTCCTCTTCACTGTCTGTCAGATCAATGCCTCACAAAATTCGGATTGCCTTCGGACTGCAAGCTTTCCCATATACATTTCTGTGCTACCCTATGCTAGCTGCTAGCTGTCAAGGCATTTCATCGCGCTTTCAAGCCAGCGAGGGGCATTGGCATGCGATCGAAAGCAGCATCGGGACATTTCCCTTTGCAAATCACACGCTCGCAGGACTCGCAGGACTCGTGGGCAGAGGCGCAAATGCGAAGTAGAACTGTTTAGGATACGATGATATGACTAGGACCACTAATAAGGACTCACTGGAGCAGACAGAACCACATGAATGCCTGTGCCGCAGGAGCTGAACACACTTCGATTTCTGCGCTCTGAAGCTAGGGCCTCATGGAAACACAGAACACGTGCTAACGAAGTGTGAAAACCGCTTTGCCACGCAATCTGCGGAAACCTGCCGCCCACAACTGGACAGCTAGCAAAATTCAGAAGTTGAAAACATTTCGTATAGTGCCCTTCAGCGATCTAATCCTTCATCCGCATATGTATATGTAGCACTTGCACATGAGAGGTACCAGCAGACGATTGAGATTGAAAGATTCCCTGTTGAGCCAGGCAAAGGAAGTCTACGAATGTGCAAGCGGCAGTGGAGTCTGCACAAGACAAGCGGCTGCACCCGCCGCAGACGGCACACCTACGTCTGCAATCTTGTGCTCCCGTGGCAACATGATTTCATCTTCAGCACCTTCCAGGTGGGAATTAATGCTCCGAGCAACAAGCTAGAACAGTTTGTCAGGTAAAGCTGACAAGATCTGCGAGCGTAAAAGGACAAATGGTTGATAAACAACATTTTGTGGACGGGCCCTAATGATATCGTGAATTTTCGTGGAAAGCCTCGGGCCCGGGCCCAGGGCTTTGATCGCCTCGTCTGCTTTGCGTAGCGTCTCCTGGCCGAACCCGCGCCGAAAGTGGAGCCGCGGCAACAAAATGCGAATACTAGTTGCCATAGCTGCAGCTGCTGCAACCAAACTTCATGCGACAGAAATCCCTCAACCCTTCTCTTGAATCTTAAACCTATGCAAATGTTCCCTTGCTGTCGCCCATGTGTCATAAACACCTGCTAATCCGCCGACCCCGCTCTGC